TAAATAAATAAAATAAAAATGAAAGGTTCGAATAATGTTTTTAATTTAAGAAAAAAATAAAATATATATTTTACCTTAAACCTATGACCCCAATGAAAGTAGATACTTTATTCTTTTTTTATTCCCAATGCCTATTACTGGAAGATGAAAATGGGAACCCTCTCCAGTATTCTTGTCTGGGAAATTCCATGGACAGGGGAACCTGGCAGGCTATGGTCCAAGGGGCCACACGGGGGTGCAAAGAGTCAGACATAACTGAGCACACCCTAAAGTAGGAGCCTAGTGATCATACGTTTAAATGAATGATTGAATCCAGGAGGATAAAAGAACATATTAAAATAATTCTATTGTTACTCATTCTGATAGTACACTTTAGAAAACAGAATTAAGGTCTTTCATGTTGTTACCATTTCCACTGCTCAGTTTGCTAGTAAAAAGATGAAGGGTTACTTAATAAACGATATTATAAGAAAGCTGATCTATCTGATGAGAAAGCTGAGCTATCAAAGCCAGAACTTCTAACATAAAATGTAGCATTTTAAAATTCTATCTGAAATTACCCTAAAAACAATGTATTCAAAATATAGTCTAGGAAATCTTAGGACTTGCAACTTTTTCCTCAAACTCTGACATACTTTTTTTCCAAGGAAGAAAACTTATGCTCCTTGGAAGAAAAGTTATGACCAACATAGACAGCTTATTAAAAAGCAGAGACATTACTTTGCCAACAAAGGTCCGTCTAATCAAAGCCATGGTTTTTCCTGTATTCATGTGTGGATGTGAGAGTTGGACTATAAAGAGAGCTGAACACCAAAGAATTGATGCTTTTGAACTGTGGTATTGGAGAAGACTCTTGAGAGTCCCTTGAACTGCAAGGAGATCCAACCAGTCCGTCCTAAAGGAAATCAACCCTGAATATTCATTGGAAGGACTGATGCTGAAGCTGGAACTCCAATATTTTGGCCACCTGATGTGAAGAACTGACTCATCTGAAAAGACAGTGATGCTGGGAAAGACTGAAGGTGGGAGGAGAAGGGGACAACAGAGGATGAGATGGTTGAATGGCATCACCAACTCAATGGACATGAGTTTGAGTAAACTCCAGGAGTTGGTGATGGACAGCGAACCTGGTGTGCTGCAGTCCATGGGGTCTTAAAGAGTTGGACACGACTGAGTGACTGAACTGGACTGACATACTAGTTTAAACTAGCAGGCAACTTGTTCTTTCCCCTTTTCTTATTCTCTGTTTCCTTCTGTCCCTAATGCATGCATGCATGCTATGCATGCTAAGTTACTTCAGTCTTCTCCGACTCTTCGCAAGCCCATTCACTGTAGCCTGCTAGGCTCCTCAGTCCATGGGATTCTCCAGGCAAGAACAGTGGAGTGGGATGCCATGCCCTCCTCCAGGGGATCTTCAGGAATTGAAGCTGCGTCTCTTAGGTCTCCAGCAATGGCAGGCAGAATTTTTACCACTAGCACCACCTGGGAAGCCCTAATGCAGATACAGTGATCAGAGGTACCTAAGACTCAGTCTTTCCTGAAGAAGGCCTTTGTGCATATCTTGGAGTCTAGCCTGAAGAAGTGAGCTTGGGCACACAAGCTGCTGTGCAGAGGACACACTCCTTGTCCAGAGGTCACACATCTTGTCCAGAGGACACACTGGCTCCAATAGCCAGTGGGGCTTGTGTTTCTGGGTTCGGCAGAACCGTGGCAAACATAGAGAAACATAAGTTCTTGAAATTGAAAAGGATACTATTTCATATTCAGCCAACAGTGAAGACTGTAATCTAAGACGAGCTATGTGTATTGACATGACAGGCGGTATTTCCTAAAATCAGCCTGAGCTGTGTTGTGCTATGCTTCATGTATCAGTTGTGTCAGACTCTTTGTGACCCCATGGACTGCAGCCCTCCAGGCTAATCTGTCCATGGGGATTCTCCAGGCAAGAATACTGGAGTGGGTTTCCATACCCTCCTCCAGGGGATCTTTCCTGCTACAAATTAAAAATAATGATTAAAAATATTTTTTTTATTTAATAAAGAGATTTTTTCTAAAACTTAGAGAACTACTGTTCAAGTCAAGACTCAGCAATTAATTTTGGAAAAAAGAAGTTTAGAATATTTTGCCGGGTCATGAAGTTATACGTGCTTTACTCAAATTTTATAATAAAATTTCACCTTGTCAGAAAGTAAATTCATGTCAGAATTTATGTCAACTATTAACACTGAGGAAATCAATAAATATAATGTAATTTTCTCTATTTTTTTGAACAATCATGATGTAGCTTCAACTAAAATTTACTTGGTGCCTACTTTATGCCGCGCCTGATACTAGGAACATTCACAAATGATAACATTTAATATTTAGAACCATCCTACAAAATAAATATATTAGTATCCCCATTCTGCAGATTAAGACATTTTCTTGGAGATTTCTGACTTGTTAATCAAGTACTGTACAATTAGGTTCTAACAGACTGAAGAATCTCTACACCCAATAAGCTTGCTAACAATAACAGCGCTGAGACACTGAGAACCTTTGTGTTTGTGTGGACACCAAAAAAAAAAGATTCACTGTGATTCATTTTATTTGCTCTGGCTAATAGGTGTATCATTGCCGAGTGGAAAGATCAGCAACGTAAGTTAAAGCAAAAGAGTTGGATGTTTCAGTTTAATCAAGCTATCTAGAAAATTCAGTTAACCAATATACTTTCCCTAGGCATACTACTTAATCAACGTTTTAATCCATATACAGCAATTTCACCCAAGGCAACAAAGTATTTTCTATTAGGAGAATTATTTAAATAGAAGTTAATGGTTTACCATAACCATCACCCTTGTTTATACATAGTTCATGCTTCTAAAGTATCTGAGGTCATTTTAAAGGGGTTTTTGAAGTATTCTAAGGAATCTCTGCTCCTCTAATTTTTACAATTAACACTGTTATCATAGCTACTTTAAAAAAGTTTTGCTAGACAAAATAGACCTTCAGCCTGGCTATGTCCAAATAATCATAAATTCCAATTAATGAGCTATTTATTTAATTGTTATACCTGTTGAACACTACATAATGCTTTTCGATACAGCTTGCATTTTACTCAAGTGCATTTCAAAGACCTGTCTCTATCTTGCAGCTAATTCAGAGAAACTTGAAAATCACTAAGATTTACTGTATTGCACATTAAATACAGATTTAACATATTACTACCTCTATATTGTGTTGAATGTGAATTTTATTAAACCAGAGAGCACATAGCTGTTTCTCCCTTTGGGTAATACCACTGGGGGGAAATTCTATGTGTAATGGCCTTTCAGAGAAATTTGTGTTTTTCAGGTGTGGTATTAGAAATTAATCAAAATTCTTATTGCTTATGGCAGCACAAGCTACTTGGATCCATAGAAGCAATTCTGAATTCTTTGTCTTTTACAGCAATCTCCTGAGAAGTTCAGTTTTTCTTTTCTGAACCTCCTTTTTTGGTTAGTAAACCCGAGGACTAAATCTGACAGAGAAATGCTTGCTCCTGTGTTTCTGCTTATTTTCTGAGCAGAGTCACCACGCCTTTCTTCAGGACTAGCTCTTCAAGGATATTTACATGATGAAGAGATAGTACTACATTCCAGAGGAAAAAACAGGTTTGTTTACTATCCAGGATAATAACGTTAATAACGACACCCTCCGGGGCAAAGATCAGACAGGCTTATTGCCGGTAACAAAAGCCCTGGGTCTCTTAAGCTGGAGGTCCCTCTAGGTAATACATCCACTGTATGAGCACATGTCTCCAGGCCCTTTTCATATCACTTTGGGAACAGGACTAGGAGAAATGGCAGCAAAATGGTTGTACCCTGGCAACTGGTATTTTGGGAGTACCAAGCTGTCGTTTTTCTCTGAACTGGAACCTACCTCTGCAAGCATTCCTGGAACTCTACCAGGCTCCCTGGTTAGCCCACAAGTGAAGTAACACCAGGGGCTTCCCTGGGGGTTCAGTCGGTAAACAATCTGCCTGCAATGCAGAAGACCTGGGTTTGATCCCTGGGTCAGGCAGATCCCCTGGAGAAGGACATGGCTACCCACTCCAGAATTCTTGCCTGGAGAATCCCGCAGACAGAGGAGACTGGAGGATTACAGTCGATGGGGTTGCAAAGAGTTGGACAAGACTGAGCGACTAAAACTTTCACTTTCAAAGTAATACAGGCTTCCTAGTTTAAGTTGGTTGGTAACAATTTCACCATGGATTGTATTATCTGGCTGCCCAGTTCCAAGAAACAAAATCATACTCAGGATGTCTACCTTCCTAACTACCTGGGTTGGCCAGTCTAGTATTCCTGCCTGATTCACCAAGAAATTTACCATCTTCTAGTAAAAAACTCAGCTCTAACACACAGCTTTTTCTTTTTTTCATGATCTTTCCGTTCATCCTCTAGTGACAGAACTGAGCCAGGTTCCCTTCCTACTAATTCTTCTTAAAACAAAGGGAAGTGAAAGTCACTCAGTCGTTTCCAACTCTTTGCAACCCCATGGACTATACAGTCCATGGAATTCTCCAGGCCAGAATACTGGAGTTGGTAGCCTTTCCCTTCTCCAGAGGAGCTTACAGTATAATTCCTTGAAAATGAGTAAAATATGATTTTTCTCAAGATTGCCCATGCCTTCTATAAATCACTAACATCCAATCCAGTTACCATTTCACCATTTATATGATTTGATCTAATCAGATGACAAATCCTAATCTGATGTGAACATCTGTGTATTCTCAACAGATTGTTCTAAGCAGATAACCTGGTATTATTTCAAATTTTATCAACAACTCATTTTTCCTCTTACCTAAATTCTTTCCATTTTGATTATAAATATATCTAACATAATTAATTGCTTTAATTTCTAAAAGACTAATCTTTCATATGTATTTTCTGCAAAAAACATACAAGTAGCTAACCACATTTCCCTATATTGGATTAAGTCCTTCCTAGGGTGGGATATGCAGGGGACGGATATTATCTCACCTTAAAAATATATTTCACATGTATAGTATTGCACCGTATATCTAATTTTTCAAGTAATTTCAGAGCTTTCTCTAGGGTAATTTTTCCACCTTTGAAGTCATCTCGAACCATCAACAAAAACCATGTAGGAGACACATCAAAAAAAGAAGTTAAGGAAATTCTCACAAAAAGTCATTAAGTACTTAAAATGACTAAAGAATATTTTGTCTCTCTTCAATTCAATGTTTTTCTTTTTCTTTTCAGAGGATAGTCTATCTCATGCTTAAGTAAGAAAATAATTTTATGGTAAATAATATTTAAAACAAATTTAAGTAGGTACTATTCAGTGCTAAAGGTATGAAAATAATAAAATAATAATTGTAGGAAAAGAATAAAAATTAACATTTGAGAAATCCAGTTATTACTTGGGAAATATAGCCTATTTTCTGAAGACATGAAGATCAAGATCTTTCTATCACTTGATCTCTCTGTGTTAGTTTTCTCATCTGAAAAGTGGTCAAATTAATACTTCAGTAAGGGAGGGGCATTAAATGAGCTCATAATATATCATTCAACATAGTTTCTGTTACTGAGAGTTCAATAAATAGTAACCATGTCTGATACGATTATTACCATTATACTAACCAAATGTCCAGCTACTCACATGCTTCCAAAAGCAACATTTTAAGGACCATCAGAAAGAGTTGTTTGTTTGGTTTTTTTTTAATGCCATGGTGAGTGTCTAATTAGTATGAAGGAGAAAACAAAAATAATCAAGCTTGCTTTATCTACAGAGAAACAGTAAAATTTAGGATACTTCAAATTGAAAAAATAAGATTTGACAGTCTATAAAATCATGAAAAGCATCAGTAAAAATTGTTCAACAATACACTCAATTTCAGATTGTTAGAACTAATGGGAAACCCTTCAATTTAATGGCTGTGACTTAATATGGCAAAGCTCATGTTATAAGAAAAAGATACAGGAAGCTAGGGAAATTAATAAAAAAAACTCAGGATGGATAAAGAAGGAGGCAGTTTACACTTAAATTTGAGAAACAAGCTCAGGAGTCTTCAAAGGAGATAAATCAAGAGAAAGGAAAGAGGAACAGAAAGGACTTCTGAGTGGATATTTGTTCTCCATATTTTCATGACCTGAAGTTCGTTTCTCCTCACTTAGAAGCTTCTGCCCATTATGAGTTGTCACGGGTTCCAAATATAATTAACTCTGCCCCTTGGCAAGAAAGGGATTCCTTGAAAATCATCCGCTGTTGCCACTGCCCCTTTTCTAGAAAGAAAGCAGAAAACACAGTGGTTTGTTGCCTTTGTTCTTTGCAGTTAGCGCAACACTTAAATCCCCCAGAGACGGTATGGAGGTTTGTGGTCTCTGCACTTCACTGCCCTTAAAATTTTTCTGGCTTCTTGCTTATGTTCTGACCATTTCCAAATCCACAATGTTTATAAGAGAGGCAACCCTTGCCGTCTGGTATTTTCCCATGAACAGTCATCGTCTCTCATTTTATTTTTACTCTTTTGTTTAAACCCCTAAAACCTTTCAGGATAACATGCTTCCACTGGGTTGGGGACAGTTATTCTGAGTGCCTGATTACAAATCCCTGCCACTGTGGTCCCCAAAGGGTCAAAGAGCTTCCAAATACTCCCTAGAAACTCTGAGTTGCTTCTCTTAGATCTATGACCACCTATGCGATAAACACAGAGACACACCACTTTATGAAGAAGGCTGTTCTGGAGGCTAAGTTCTTAAAAAATCTTCAAAATTCGTATAGCTGGTTGGCTGGGCACCACGCTGTCAGGTGACTTTCATGTTTTCCTTTGGGTCCGAACGCCCATTGTGATCTCATCGAAAGTCCCATACTTCACAGAGCAAGCTCCCTTATGACTTCACCAGGAGACCCAGAGCCGGCCAGACAACCTGTTTTTGGCATGGTCAGACATGGTAATCTTAAGCTTGAACGTTTAACACCTTGATGGGAAAGGTGCCCCATGGAATGTTCTCTCATCCTCTGAACACTGATTATTCCAGAAGCTCTGCTTCTACCTCAACCAAACATGTCACGTAGCACTCTGAGTAGGAAAGAGAAAGAAAAAGTAATTCGCAGACTATTGATACAGGCTCCTCCAGGGGAATTTGTAAATGCCTTTGATGATCTCTGTCTGCTTGTCCGTGATGAAAAACTCATGCACCATCAAGGGGAGTGTGCAGGCCATCAACACTGCCAAAAATATTCTGTCCCGCTCAGCATTGATGGGAATGCTGTCCTCCTGTCTCACCACAACGTCGTGGGCGACTACAGGTTTTTCGACTACCAGAGCAAACTTTCTTTCAAATTTGACCTGCTTCAAAACCAGTTAAAGGACATCCAGAGTCATGGAATCATTCGGAATGAGACGGAGTACCTGAGGACTGTAGTTCTGTGCGCCTTGAAGCTGTATGTGAACGACCACTATCCAAAGGGCAACTGCAACGTGCTGAGAAAAACAGTGAAAAGTAAGGAGTTCTTGATCGCCTGTATTGAAGACCACAGCTATGAAACAGCAGACTACTGGAATGGCCTTTGGAAATCAAAATGGATTTTCCAGGTCAATCCATTCCTAACCCAGGTAACAGGGAGAATTTTTGTGCAAGCTCACTACTTCAGGTGTGTCAACCTACATGTCGAAATCTCCAAGGACCTGAAAGAAAGCTTGGAGGTGGTGAACCAAGCTCAACTGGCTCTAAGTTTCGCAAGGCTTGTGGAAGAGCAAGAGAATAAATTTCAAACTGCACTGTTGGAAGAACTACAGGAGTTATCAAATGAAGCTCTGAGAAGAATTCTACGAAGAGATCTTCCAGTGACCCGTACTCATATTGACTGGCAGAGGATACTCTCTGACTTGAATCTGGTGATGTATCCTAAACTAGGGTATGTCATTTATTCAAGAAGTGTGCTATGCAACTGGATAATATAAAGGATTGCTCCTGGTAACTGTCTTGATTTGATTCAGTTGTGTTTCCGGGGGCAGGGGCGGGGGTGGGGGGAGGCGCTGAGGTTATTCTCCTAAAGTTGAGAAGCCACTAGATATGTCCATCACTTGGCAGATGTAAATTTGGGGGCAATTTTTGGTTTTACTTTTTTTTGGGGGGGGGCGCACATCACACAGTTTGTAGGAATTTGGTTCCCCAGCCTAGGACTGAACTGCCTTCAGCAGTTGAAAGCAGAGTCCTGACCACTGGACCGCCAAGGAATTCCAGATGCAAGTTTAAATTAGGGACAAGTCTTCCAAATCATTTTATTCAAGGAATATTTACCAGTAACTCAAGGAAAGGGTGATGGTAATGTGTTTCATGGTAGTGCAATCATAAAGCCAGAAACATTTATTAGAACCTAAAATGACTTTGTAGAACGCGGCACCCCAGAAATATTAATATAGGTGGCCAGGGTTAAGGCTGTGTGAGTGTGTGTAGGAATGACTTTTGACTTTCTTTGTAACTGGAGAAGGCAAGCAAACAAGAGTCATTCTGCAAATGATAGTTCACCTAACTCAACTCACCAACAAGGGGGTAGATTTCAATCAGTGCCATTAGGGTTAGATGGTCCATGAAACCAACAAATATCAAAAATCTAGCTCATATGAAGGACTACTAGACCCATGGCCACTCCCCCTCACTCACACCCCAACCCCTCGCAAGAATCCGGAATTACTCTAATCTCCAGGCTTTTCTTCAAAGAATCAAGTAGAAAAGCTTGACTTCCAAGCTTATATAGTCTGGCTCTTGTGAAGTCATTTATATGAAAATTTCATGCTGAACCCTGTGCTAGATGATTTACAACAAATTTTTTGTCATTAGGTTGCTACCAGTGGTAACCCCATTTAATATGAGAAGAATCTAAAACCTGAGTCACTTAATTCATCCAGGCACATAGTGAGTGATGAGTGTTACTGACCCCTAGCACTCTTAACCTCGAGAGCAGGGTCCCTGATCTCCAGGATTTAATGTCTGATGATCTGAGGTGAAGCTGATGTGATAATAATAGAAATAAAGTGCATAATAAATGTAATGTGCTCGAATCATCCTGAAACCACCTCCCATCCCTGGTCTGTGAAAAAACTCTTCAAAGAAACTGGTCCCTGGTGCCAAAAAGTTTGGACTCCGCTGCTCTAAAGCATTGCAGCTCTCCGTGGAAGCCCATTTCATTAAAAGTTGTGAACTCCACTCTGCAATGACTTAGGTAAGCATTCCACCCAAAGGATACCACTCCCAAGGGAACTAGAACTGATAGGTCACTGTTTTCTAGCCAAGCAGTCCCCTATCACTTGTCCCAGCAATGTTACTGATCACTTTGTCTGTTCTTCAAGAATTCCAAATCTAAACCTCTCTACTAAGATTGCAGTTGAGCAGTAGCTGGGTCCCAGCCCCACATCCAACTTATGTGGTAAGCAAAGTGCTTTACAGTTTGGATCCATGTAAATGAAAAAAAAAGGTCAAATTCTATTTAATGAACAATGGAGCCAATGTTTAAGGTTCCTCTGCAAAAATGTCTAAATTTCATACCTCTCTTAATTGGTGGTAGATCTTAGAGAATCTCAGGATAGTGACCCAGGGTATATCTTTAAGACAACTTCCCAGTACCCATCCTCAGACTGACTTAGTAGGTCAGCAAATCTACATCTTGAGCAATTATAGTGATGATTCCGATACAAGGGGCTATAGAATCACATTTTAAGATATATTGCTCTACTCTTAAAGTAACACATCTCTGCTTTCCATTTACTTAATTGAAATCATTTCCTACACAACTACTGTCCATTGAAGGCTACGTCTACTTCTTCACTGGATTCACCACACACAGGCCAAAGACATCTGACTGCCTTCATTTGCCATGTTAAAAATGTAAGAGAAAAAAACTAAAGAAAAGCAACAAGGAAAAGTACTCTCACTGCACTAAAATATACCCATCTGACAAATTCTTTCACAAAAATCTGAATTGATATTATGGTTATATATGGAAGTATTGATCTTGCAGATCAGTCCATCCTAAGACTTAATGTTTCATGGGACAATCACAGAAGCATTTAATGCCCACTCTAACACAGGGGTTTTTTAATTTTTATTTTATGTATACACATATC